TATCTGGTATTGAACATTTTATAATCAGCTTGAGATATGTTATGGTCGTAAATATTCTCTCTCTCTCTCTCTCTCTCTCTCTCTCTCTCTCTCTCTCTCTCTCTCTCTCTCTCTCTCTCTCTCTCTCTCTCTCTCTCTCTCTCTCTCTCTCTCTCTCTCTCTCTCTCTCTCTCTCTGTGTGTCTCTCACTCTCTCTGTGTCTCTCTCTCATTTATTATTCATAATTCTAACGTAGGAGAGGCTGTTCTTCCCACGTTCTTGTTTGAACACAACTCATCAGTGTATGTTGATTGAAAACCATATTCGAAATGACACATACCTCAATACACACCTTTTTAATCCAAATGTTAAACATATTTGGAGTTTTAACTTCGATTTTTTTGCTAAAAAACAAACAAAAATAATTTAAACTTAGAGTAATTGCTGGATGTTCCTGTCTGAAGACGTTGATTATATATATATATATATATATATATATATATATATATATATATATATATATATATATATATATATATATATATATATATATATATATATATATATATATATATATATATAAAACGTAAACACAACGTAAAAACGTCGTTTTTACGTCGTAATGACGTTATAGTTACGGTACGTCTTTGCTGGAATATAATAACATCTTCGAACTGGATATTAATTTCGTAAAAAATGGGGAGGTGGGAATTACAGCTTTACAATTTTAAAAATCTTTCTAAAATTTTATTCAGAAATGAAGTGTTAATTCTCCCAGCTCAATCCCGTGTCAGCGAGTACCTGCATGCTCTTATTCTGTTAAGTCATCCTTGCTACGTAATGAGATGACGGGTTAGGGAGGGGGAGGGAGAGAGAGGAATGGTCAAGATTATGGGGTGCTATGAAGGGGGGGGGGGGAAATGAGGAATGAGATTGGAGGTAGAACAATGATCAACCAGGCTGTGACTCATACGTCAGGCTGCGAGCAGCCGCGTCTAACAGCCTGGTTGATCAGTCCAGCAACCAGGAGGCCTGGTCGACGACCGGGCCGCGGGGACGCTAAGCCCCGGAAGCACCTCAAGGTAACCTCAAGGTCAAGGTAGAAGGGATGGGAATGGAGATGATTTAGGATGAGGGATGGGAGGGAGATGGGATGAGGAGGGCAATAAGAGATATGTATACTTAATTTTTATGTTCTTTCAGGAATATAATAATGGGGAGGGGGTAGAAATAGCCTAAGCTACTCTATCCCTTTGAGATGTATTTATTGCTTATCTCAATAAACATACTTGAACTTGAATATAAAAATCAACATATACTTACTTATATTTGATCAACAACAGTCCGTCCTCTCGTAACTTGTAAACATTTAGTTACGTGTATATCAGCTCGGGTGCCCACCCCGAACTCTTTTGTAAGTTTCGGGTGGACATCAGGTTTCGGCACTTTTATCACATTGTGGTGCAGTGGGTAAATGCTGTGTGTTTCTGGGGGTTAATTAAGACAAGGATGCGATTCCATCGCTCTGCTCCAAATATGTCACACTATTGCGTTGTCATAGTGTATATATATATGTGTGTGCTATCAAACGCTTCAATTAATTTATCAGATCAATAAAGAGATATAAACAATCTCACCGTATACTTGAACCTTTTCTGTCTGTACATCATAGTTCTCTCCAAAGTTCCAAGAGCCCTCAGTAACACCTATGTATTTTACTTCTTTGTCAGAGACAGAGGAACTCAGGGACGACACTCAAATGTAGTTATAAATAAAAATCTAACTTTTTCCGACCAATTATTAAAAACTCGGTTAGCATGTTTGGTCCAGTCACTATGCTGACTAAGTCTTGCTATCTTAATTAAGCCAAACTCTCAATCACTCTTGTCAGTTCGTTCAGGTTCATATTTCTGTTATAACATAACCTGCAGAACATAAGCCTGATTACGGAAACAATTTAATAGAAAATAATAATAATAATAATAATCATTCAATAAATCACGTTTTGTTTCGAAGGCTGGTAAACAAGTATTACTGAAAAGCCATTTGTTTTATATCTTAAGGTCTAATTTAATACTCACCTCCCTGAAGGCTGCTATCAGAGTTGTACAGCAGGAATCCAACACGAAAATGATCCATTCCTGATCTATTCGACAGGACCTGTCTGTTGAAATCAGTACTTAATTGGACACCCTCATAAATCCTGTCAAATAGTATCCTCCCCAGCGATTGATTGATTGATAAAGATTAAGCCACCCAAGAGGTGGCACGGGCATGAATAGCCCGTAAGTGTTGGCCCTTTTGAGCCATTACCAATATCAAGAGATGATACTGGAGATCTGTGGAGGAGCAACTGCACCCTGCGTGACGGGAGATGTCTCCCGGACCAAATGGTGCTCCCCAGCGATATAAAAACCACATAATAAGGACTGACGATTTAATATGGGCGCTCAGCACACAGTGTATATTCTTTCACGATCAAAAGATCACATTCGTTCCAAAAAATCTACCTTATTCATGCCCGTGCCACCTGTAGGGCTACATAATCTCCATCAATCAATCAGTCAATCTTTAATTCATATGAATGTTCTTAAAATATTCAGGAATTCGAATGTTTACCATTCTAGTATTTTTCATTATAACAAGACACTAAATATCAATAAAAGTTCCGCCTAGACATTTTAATTAATAGTTGACAGTAGGGACTTACCTGTTTGATAAGACGCTGCACATTATCTTATCGTTGAATTACCTGGGTGTTGTATTACACAGCCAGGTATAATACAACTAATAATTAATACAACACCCAGGTAATTACCTGGGTGATGTATTACAAGAGCGATAAGCGAGAGACTGAGGGAGTCTTGAGGTGCGAACTGCCAGATTATCTCCCATTTTTACCTGCGTTTCGACCCACCTTCCTGGATTCCATTTCGGCCAGTTATAGCTATTTAATTAATAACTGGGAAATTGTACAATATTTCTATTAGCTTGATAAGAAATAGGACATTAATTAAACTATTTATAATTAATACAATATTTCGTGCCGGAATACATAGTGGAAGTCAATCCACCAAATCGGACAAGTTCTCGCAGGACGGGTCGGACCAACCAAGTTGTTATGGATAGGTGTTGGTTAACTGGGCGTTCCAAGCCACAGCCTTTTAGATCCAATTATCACAACACAAACCTGCTCCGCCAAGTCGAGCTTGGGTGAATAGAAGAGCTCCCTAAGCCAACTCCAGTTAACCAACAGGTTGTACGGGTACATTACGAATATTGGAACATTTTGCTGTGAATGGTAACAACCGTATTAGTTAATTGTCTGTTTTCCCGCTGTGTTTCTTGTGGCGGCGCTGCTGGTCACGACCAAGTCAACATAGCACCTCTTAGGTTTGATGTATTTGTATATAATTCTTGAAAGTGTATGCGTAAATAAACTCTTAGTAATTATTGAAGGATTTACCTTCAACAACGTTTCATTCCATTCTGGAACATATTCAGCTAAATAATGAATACATAAGATGTCAATTTTGGGTTTAATACACATGTGGAAGGGGGGAATTTATATTGGGGTGAGATGAAGGGTCGAAGGAATATAAGGACAACCAAACATTGGGTAGGGAAGTAGGGAGACATCTCCCGTCACGCAGGGTGCAGTCGCACCTCCACAGATCTCCAGTATCATCTATTGATACTGGAAATGGTTCAAAAGGGCCACCACTTATGGGCTATTCATGCCCAAGCCACCTTTTGGGTGGCTTAATCTTCTCTCTCTCTCTCTATCACTGAGCACACCATTTGGTCACCACTTGGTCCGGGAGACATCTCCCGTCACGCAGGGTGCAGTTGCGCCTCCACAGATCTCCAGTATCATCTTTTGATACTGGTAATGGCTCGAAAGGGCCACCACTTACGGGCTATTCATGCCCGTGCCACCTCTTGGGTGGCTTAATCTTCATCAATCAATCAATGGGTAGGGAAATAGGGAAATAAGGTAAGTGTAACAGGACAGAGCCAATCGAACAAGGGGTAAGGCGTTGCATAGAACTCCGATACTCTCGTTGGGCGGAGAGACCTCAATGGAGATGTCGTTATCCGGAGGTGTTGGGTGAGGTCTAGGTCTAAGTGTCAGCAAGGAAGCGAAGTCGGTATACTGTGCATTTAAAGTTATTTTTTTTTGTCTCTTATATGTTTAGCTGATAAGAGAATTTGCAGTCTTCTTTGGTCTGTGGTAGATTCCAGGATTGTAGTGTTATCTACTAGCATGTTCTTAGTGAGTGTTGTTCACTTGCATTTGTTTCTAGGGTTCATTTGGCGATTTGTATTCGCGTATTAGCGCGAATCTGCTGTTCCATAGTGTCTGCCGGAACAGCATACACCATGCAGGTGTCTGCTGGAATATCACCTGCATAATGTTCCAGCAGACACCTGGATGGTGTTCCAGCAGATACCTGGATAATGTTCCAGCAGACACCTGGATGGTGTTCCAGCAGACACCTGCATGGTGTTCCAGCAGATACCTGCATGGTGTTCCAGCAGATACCTGGATAATGTTCCAGCAGACACCTGGATGGTGTTCCAGCAGACACCTGGATGGTGTTCCAGCAGACACCTGGATAATGTTCCAGCAGACACCTGGATGGTGTTCCAGCAGACACCTGCATGGTGTTCCAGCAGACACCTGGATGGTGTTCTAGCAGACACTTGGAGAAATTACGTAAACAAGAATGTTATAGTTCATGTTGCTTTTGCCAAAAGTATGGACATGAGGTTACAGTACACTTTGTAGAGTCTAAGATTTATTAACTGCCAATATTTATATGTTGTAATGTGATTATAAAGTAACTTTAGATATAATATTATCTCTAATATATGTTGATTTAACAAGAGGTTAATATGAGAATATCTTAAACTAGTACAATATTAATACAACCAATTATATTTTTAATGTATATATATATATATTATATATATATATATATATATATATATATATATATATATACATACATACAAATGTATATTTGTATGTATATACAAAGCTGCAGGAATACGCAAGACATAGATCACTAAGAACTCTAATTGACCCGGCAAGGATTCGAACCCATGCCGATCCTATATTCGAATCCTGGCCGGGTCAACAGAGTTCACTGAGCTTCACATACTCAGAGAGACACCAATAAAGTGCTCACTCATGTTACTCATTACTGACATGAATAACAAACAATTCTTTCCCCTATTCATTGCTTCAACTGACAAACAAATGTATTTGTTCCTACACAAGCATAATCATTGAGGGGAGGGTGCTTGTCAGTCCACATTGCTAGGCAGTCTTCAGGCTCTAGTCTATTATTAATTTTACTTGGTTGGTAGGGAGCCCACAGGGACCTGTCCACAGGGCGACCGTCGAACCAGCGCCACTCGTTGTTTGGGGTTTTGCTGCCTCCGACGGACGGCGTGATGCCTGTTCAAACATTAATGCCATTCTGTCAGTCAGTGTTCATGATATGTGGTTGTATAAATCATAAATTTGTATGATATGCAGATGCTTCTATATTGGTGCGGAGTCTTGAAGTGGGTAGAATATAGACTTGAAGTGGGTAGAATATAGACTTGAAGTGGGTAGAATATAGACTTGAAGTGGGTAGAATATAGACTTGAAGTGGGTAGAATATAGACTTGAAGTGGGTAGAATATAGACTCCGCACCAATATAGAAGCATCAAGAAATATGGGCCAATAGGCCTTTTGCAGTTACTTCCATTCTTCTCTTTAACTTACAAAATATTTATACCCCCATTGTTTCGTGTTCTGCTCTTGTGTTGGAAAGTTTGTTTTCACCTCATCCAAAACTGTAACATATCACCTCACCCAAATGCAGGTTGTAACATGCAGTCACCTCATCTCCAAATGCAGGTATAAAAAATGCCCAAGCCCCCTTTTGGTGGAATATATATATATAGATATATATATATATATATATATATATATATATATATATATATATATATTTATATATATATATATATATATATATATATATATATATATATATACAAATAAATGAAGGATGCAGTTGAGAGCTCATAACCACTTACTTCCTCTGTCGTACAGATACGAGGCCAGGGCGTAGGGGTGGCTGGGGGTGGCCAGGTCGCCCCCCATCCCCTGACAGTGTGTGCGAGCATCACTGTGGCTCAACATTAGCGTGCTGAGGTAGAAGCACTCGTCCAGCACTCTCGTATAAGGGAAAGGACAAGACCTCTCTGCAAATATAAACGTGTGACTTACAATTTATATTTTCACAATTTATCCCCCAAAAATATTTTTAACAAAAACTGAAACAAAAAAATGAAAAAGAAAATTGCTTATAATCTAAGCAATAAAACATAAATGCCATGAAATATAATTTATTTTGAATATACTGTAGATTATTTCAAATTGTGTAGAATTATTTAATATTTAATTTAAATACGAAAGCCTATTCTTCGTCCACATTACGGGCTATTCACGGCCGTGCCAATCTTGGGTGGTTTAATTTTTATCAATCAATTATCTTTGTCCACAAGTCCACTATGGGCTCACCATAGCCCGTGCTACTTGGAACAATTTGTTCCGAGTATCTGAATCTAAAATAACGTTATTCTGAATGTTACGGGCTATTCATGCCCATGCCATCATCTGTTGGGGAGCTTAATCTCTATCAGTCAATCAATCTTGTGAAGAGATAACCAATTATTACAACATATTGGATTCGGTAACTAAAATATTTTGTTGTAGATGCATAGCAGTCAGGGAGAATCTGAAGACCTGACCATGTAACTAGCTAGAATGGGTCTTATTTAACATGAAGATAAAGATACAAATCAACTGCAGAGGAGCAACGACTGCTCTCAATAAAACAGGTCACTATTGGAACAATTCCAATAGGATGACAAAGTGGATCAAATTTCACAATCAAATCTCTAAAATGTGCAGTTGTATAAAAGTACTCTGTTGAGGCTCTCAGAACTAAAAAAATTGACAATAAAATGGGGAAAAATCGCAAAGTATTGGTGCACAGGAGAAAATCACAGATTGGTATCGGAGGTATCTTATTGGACTGTATATATTTTGGATTCCTATGAGGTATGTTAAGAGTGGTTTGTGTGGTCGTGTTTAGATAGTTGTTTGCGAGGTCGTGTTAAAACTTGTTTATGAGGTCGTGGCAAGACAATTGTTGACCAGACCACACACTAGAAGGTGAAGGGACGACGACGTTTCGGTCCGTCCTGGACCATTCTCAAGTCGATTCTCAATCGACTTGGTCTGGTCAACATACTTTAGCCACGTTATTGTGACTCATCGCAAGACAATTGTTTACTCTTCCAAGGTTACTTGGAGTAAATTAGGCTCACGATCACTATTTAAATTCATAAAGTCACTAAACATCAACTGAAGAATGTCATAAGGAAAAAAATACCAATTTAACGACTAATGAGACATTAATCTCACTACTAATAACTCGTGTTAGGGGTATAGTAATTGGTCCCGCATGTTAAATACTTATGTGCCCAAATTCCTGCATTTACAAAGGTTAAGAAGTTGTACACAATACCTTAAGTTTAACCAAACCTTTCATTAAGAGGCGGAGCGCTGTTTCCGTGGCATTAACCAGCAGCTGCAGCGCCTCTGATTGGTGGGACAAGACCAACTGCGACACCACCAACGATGACCGAATTTCGTCAACAATTGCTTCATCTGAAGCGGAGGCTGCGGCCCACGCCAGACACCACACAACCACGACGTGTCGGACAGACATCATGGTGACTCGTGCTTCACTACGATGCGTCGAGATGTGAGTTCTTGGCTGGAGGAGCACCAGTGTTTGGGTCTGTTGCTTGGTAACATGTCAATATAAAGCCAAGAACACCCTGAGATGCCACGAGTTACCGAGAAGAACTTAAGATAACTCTAAGCTTGAGATCTACGTCTCAACGCGGCGCAAACGGACTTTTATCACATTTCGGGTATCACGGACTCACATTTATGGACTTTATTAAGACCTTCTCATGTCGGAGTGTTGACAGGTGTTACAATGAACGCGCAACACAACAAACACCTGCAGAGGTGAGGTTGACTTCCAGCAACGAGGCAACACTTGCGGGTGTTGACGAAGCACAGTGGGAAAGATGTCACACTCTGGCATGTGTTATTGTCTCATTTATTTTAATGAGGGTTAATCAAACTGTTGTGGTGGGACTTACGCATAAGGAAAACCCGGGTGGGAATTCGACCATAAAAATTAGGACTGATTATAACTGTATCTCTCTATTTTTAGGGGAATTTGCATATATTATTATCAGTTATTTGAGTAATTATGAATTTTAATTTCAAATAAATACAGCTGTAGTACATCCGTCTCTGTACCACTGCAATGCATCCTGTATTAATACAACTGTAGTATATATATCTCTGTACAATTTTAGTACATCTCTCTATATCTCTTTACAGCTATTGTACATCTCTGTACCACTATAGTAACTTTTCGTGCCGCTGTAATACATCTCTGTACCGGTGCAGTACATCTATGTAACGCAATAGCACATATTTGTACTGCCGTCACACGACTATATGTATAACATAACAATGTATATTATATATGGTGTATAACAACATATAATACACCATATATGGTGAATTATATGATACATAGCAATGCATATTATACACCATGCCTTTATAATTGTATATTGATTATCATTAATATCATAAAATAATTAATATGATAATAATAACAATTGATTTTCCTGCTGATTTAATGCTGATAAATGCATCAGCGTTAAGATCATTTTGGTCTAAACCAATCAGAGAAGATCGAGCCGGTCAACCAATCAGAGAGGAGTAATTTGAGAAGACTTTTTGGCCAATGAGATCGCAGGGGAATTAGGGACAACAAATCAACTGGAACATGTGATCCTAACACGAATTTACGAAACCTGTACATCTTTCATCGAATCATGGCGGCTTTGTTGACATTTATTAAGCAGTTTAATGGACTCTGAAGCTCCAGGAGGTTGTTTGCAATGTTAAAAACCTTGAGTTGGGAAGTGTTCGAGATTGCAAGCTGTTTAATACATGATTTGTTGAATCTGGGGGTGGTTATCTTGAGGTTATCTTGAGGTTATTTCGGGGCTTTAGTGTCCCCGCGGCCCGGTCCTCGACCAGGCCTCCACCCCCAGGAAGCAGCCCGTGACAGCTGACTAACACCCAGGTACCTATTTTACTGCTAGGTAACAGGGGCATAGGGTGAAAGAAACTCTGCCCTATTGTTTCTCGCCGGCTCCTGGGATCGAACCCAGGATCACAATTCCAGCGTGCTGTCCGCTCGGCCGACCGGCTCCCCGCCGGGTGACAGGAAGCCAGAGTGTATTCATATACGTGAGGCTTATATCGAGGTTCAACCCCCCCCCCTTCCCCCCGAGGCCAAATTACTGACTCAGCCTAATGACAAAACCCCTCAATAAGGCGACTAACTCCTGCGTACCAATACTCACTGCTAGGTGAACAGAGGCTTTAGGTGAAAGGAAATATGCCCAACCATTTATGTCCCGTCCGGGACTCGAGCCCGGAATTCTCGCTTGTGCGTCGAGAACGAATCCTACTGAACTACCGGGACCCCTCTTATATATATATATATTAATATAGACTAACCCACCATGAGCGAGGGAAAGATGCAGAGGTTTCGTAAACAAAGACGAAAGTGCTTGATGATATCTGGCGCACTGAACGATAAGTGACTCAGAATAACTCTGAGACTTACATGAAAAATCTACGAGTTCGTCCCATCTCAATTTTTTGGTTGAACTGATCTGATTGGCACACTGGACTTGTGATCCTGTGGTCCCAGGTTCGATCCCGGGCGCCGGAGAGAAACAATTGGCAGAGTTTCTTTCACCCTATGCCCCTGTTACCTAGCAGTAAAATAGGTACCTGGGTGTTAGTCAGCTGTCACGGGCTGCTTCCTGGGGGTGGAGACCTGGTCGAGGACCGGACCGCGGGGACACTAAAGCCCCGAAATCATCTCAAGATAACCTCAAGATTTGAAAGCTATTGATTGAAAGGGTAGATTGAAAAGACATTTAAAAAAAGGGAGGTTGACGTAAGTTAAGAATTATAGCGAAAAGGCGGAAAATATCAATAAAAGGATGAAAAAGACAATAGAGAAAAGACTCACAAAGGTAACGAAAATAAAGAGAAAACAAATCCAGATAAGAACAATTATATATAATAACAAAATATAACACGAGTAAGAGATTAGTGAACAGGAGAAGAACAGAACCCGATAATAAATGACAGAACAAAAAATAATAAAAAAGTAATAACATATAACCTTAAAAGGAAAACAACGAAACGTTAACGAAATGTTTAATTCGTAGCACGAACGAGTCAGAAGGAGCGAGGGGGGAGGGGGGCGGTGGAGGGGGTGGGGGGTGGGGGTCCCGTTGACGTATCCGGGACTTAGGGCCTTATAGGCGTTACGTAAGACGGGTTTGATTGCGTTGCGACGCATTCCAAGTACGTTATTCGCCTCTTTGCTGCTCCTGCACGTCGCTCCGATGTGGGGGGCGGGGGGGGGGGGGTTGAGGGAGGGGGGGGGGGGAGAAGAGAAGTAGGAAGACGTAGAGGAGGAGGAGGAGGAGACGCCACTCAGGGGTTCGACACGGCTAGAAGCGTGAAGAGCCGGATCTTGAGAGGAGGTCGTCTGTCTGTCTGTCTGTCTACCTGGCATGCCTGTCTGAACGTATACTCACCTAATTGTACTTGCGGGGGGAAAGGGAGAGGAGGGGGGTTGGGGGAAGTTGAGCTTCGGCTCTTTGGTCCCGCCTCTCAATTGTCAATCAACTGGTGTACAGGTTCCTGAGCCTACTGGGTTCTATCATATCTACATATGAAACTGTGTATGGAGTCAGCCTCCAGCACATCACTGCTTAATGCATTCTACTTGTTAACTACTTATTGACATTGGAAAAGTTCTTTCTAATGTATTTGTTAGTGTGCTAATGTGCTCTGAGTGCCCATTTGGGTACTCAGTTTCGAGCTGTGTTCCCTCCCTGTGCCAGTACTACTCTTGCTAAATAATCTGTCCATATCTACTCTATCAATTCCCCGGAGAATTTTGTATGTGGTAATCATGTCTCCAGTAACTCCTCTGTCTTCCAGTAACGTAAGGTTTAATTCCAGTAGTCTTTCCTCGAAGCTCATACCCCTCAGCTCGGGTAATAGTCTGGTGGCACACCTTTGAACCTTCTCTAATTTAGTCTTGTGCTTGACTAGATATGAACTCCACGCTGGAGCTGCATATTCGAGGATTGGTCTGACATATATGGTATTGAAGGTTCTAAATGAGTCCATACACAATTGTGTGTATGTATTTACTATTTGTATCTGCAGAATCGAGCTATTAGCTCTTGGACCCCGCCTTTCTAACCAATGTAATATTTCTTCTATTATGTCTACTACATATATTTCTCTTGCACACACACGCATCCCCAGGAATGCAGCCCGTAGCAGCTGTCTAACTCCTTGTACCTATTTACTGCTAGGTGAACAGGCGCACCAGGGTGAAAGAAAATCTGCCTATTTGTTTCTGTCTCCGCCTGGGATTTGTGTGTGCGTGTGTGTGTGTGTGTGCTCACGTAGTTGTACTTGTGGGGTTGAGCTTAGGCTCTATAGTTCCGCCTCTCAACTGTCAATCAACTAAATGTATGTGTGTGTGTGTTTACCTATGATTACTTGCCAATCATTGTGAGGTTGAGTGCCTCACCCTACCTCACAATCCCTACTCTCATGTTGTCCCATGGGACTTACGCCTCAAAGCGGATGTTTCTGAATTAATATTCACTCCATTTCTCCTGCCAAACGATGCGTTCCAATCCCTTATAGAATTATCACTTCCAATCTCACCATCCGTTTCAATCCATATTGAAATTCAATCCATTTCAGTACCCCATATTGGATTATCGCTTTTCGATCCAATCCAATCTTCTAACGAATTATACTTTACAATCTTACTCTCCGTTCCAATCCCTTATCGGCTTATAACCTCCAAATCCTTGCATAGGTTCAACTTTCATCGACATCTTCCTCATATCCTTCACCCAAAACTCATAGCTCACCCCACCCTCATTTTTCATGCAAAAGCAGAACTTAACATTCCGCTGGGATTAAGCCAGATGCCATTTGAATGCAAGATGGAGCCGGCTTTATTCATTGTCTTCCAGGCGTGCTCCGGGTAAGAGGTCCATTCATTGTTTCGACCAGAGGTCACGGCTAAGTTCACCATCCAACCGGTATCCGATATCCGTGTGTATAACCGGCCCCTCTTTTTTTGGGGGTAAATTATTAAATTGAATATGTTTTCATTTCGCCATTATACTGAGTTGTCTGAAATATGGAGGCGGGGGGTTGTGTGGGGGGGGATAATTTTTGTATATTATTTGATGTGTTAATATCTCGTTTCATATGGACTGGTTATAATGTTTTATCTGCTGATGTTCTTCTTCACTTGGGGTGGGAAGTTTTAGTATTTTTGGCCAGATCCGTGACTCGTTTCGATGAAGCTCGCTTCAGCATATTCGGAGGTTTGGGTACGTATATATATATAGTGGCTGGGCGTGCATTATGTACGGCTAGGTCAGGGAGGAGGTGAAGAAAAATGGATCGGGGGGGGGGGGAGGTTATTTACGTGCTCGGTGCCTTGTGGGTTTCACACACACACACACACACACCACACACACAACACACACACACACACACACACACACACACACACACACACACCACACACACACACACACACAATATATATGTGTGTGTGTGTGTG